AAGTAAACGAAGAGAAAATTAGCCCTCACTTGTCAAAATAGGAAGAATGCACACCAGCTGATTTTGTTTATGTTTTATTTGTAAACAAACTGAAATTTATGTTGCCTCCATGGAAGAGAAAAGGAAAGTGAAAGTTCAATATTCGCCAGGAACATTTCTGGAAGTAAAAACTAGTTAGCACTATCATAAAGTCACATAACAGGCAGCCAAAAAGCACATATGTATGTATGTAAATACCAAAACTCGAAAAATTCAATTTTGTTTGTTTACAAAATTGCAACCATATGTTTTCAGATCATATGTTTTCGTGATGGATAATTTTCGCTGGCTAAAATTTTTCGCGCACAAAATGAACGCTTGCTCTCTCAATTTTTGAGTGATGGATAATTTTTTGTCGTTACAATCTTTGTGTTGTCAAACTTATATCGACCCCTTTTGCAATTTTATCGTAAGCGACAAAAGGTAAATTTTACAGGAGAGGTTTTTTTTAAAATCCTCCCTTAAACTGTGTAAAAGTTTATTTGAATTTAAATGGACAACAACATTATTGAATGATAGCTTTCTAATGGGACTATTTAATTTTTGCATACCTTATTTTCTAAAGGTAAAATGGCGCTGAAGGTTCCGGCTCGAGTCTATAGCACTCCATCATAAACTGCTTGTCGAGCATGATGTTCTGCTGTATAGTTTAGAACCAACCGGCCAATTGCCTTGAATGTATGTTGCTACTAAACGTTTTTGTATCTTTGCCGCAAGTTGTTGCGGATCTTTACTTTTCTGAAAATTACGGTGTGTGCGCCAAAAAAGTGTGCAGGCTGTCGAAGAATTTTTGGGTTAATACCTAATTGTAGCCTGATCTCTTTCGTCCAAATGGTAAAAAGGATTGCTCCGTTAGGGTGTCCGTGTTGTCGAGAGCAAATGATGCTTGCATATCAAGTTTTTCAAGGGCCGCCAACACTGTTCCATAAACTTGGGTTTATCAGTAAACGACCCGTAGATTTTTACATTCTACGACTTTCTATGCTATACCTTTGCTTGGAGTTAGCGTTGGCCCGTCATACATAGTACGGTGGTTGAGTAGGTGTTGACATTTACAAATATTTGTGTAACCACTTCGATTTGTTTTTTGACTTTTTAGTTTTTCTACGCTTATGAAACTATCTAACTCCTAGGGCAAAATGCTAAGGTGATTGTTGTGCGCTGGGCGATGCTGATGCAGACCTCACAGCGCTGTCTGTTCTTAAAGGCAGTGTCACACGATAGGGCATTTGGCCAAAATTTAGTGCAAATCGTATCCCAATCGTGTGAATGCACAAATATTTTTCCTTTTCCCAATCACGAAAAACAATTTGTTAAATTGTTAAAATTTTCCAATAGAAAATCGTTGTATTGTACCAATCGTGTGACTACAAAAACAATTGTCGCTCCAATTTTATTTTTTTTTTTTTGTACCAATAGCCCAATACAAACAATGTACAAATCTGTGCACATGCGCCAATCGTGTGACACTGCCTTAAGTGATTTAAGCCTAAATTTAATTTGTATTATACAATTAATACTTACTGCAGATAATTGGATTCGAACAGACTTGCAACATTTCCGCAGTGCCATCATCATGTGCCAATTGTGTACGGAACACCATGCGGCAACGGGTTGATTTCTTTTTATTCTTCTGCGCCAAATGATCTGGAAAACGATGTTCCACGTCGACGTTGCGTTCCTGAATAGTTGAAAAAATAGAAGTAGTAAAATTAAACACGCTATCACAACTATTGCTTTATGAACACGAACCTTGAGTATGCCAACGCAATCGCAAGTAATAGTCATATCCGTTTCCGGTTTGAAATCGATTTCTATAACCATGGTGCCATCCACTTTCTTCTCATTACACTGCGTAGAATTTTTGCCTGCCACCTTGCAGGCTTGATAGAACATGTGCGGTGCGACGCGACCAATATCTGTGCCGATGAAAACTTGTAAAACTGCGGGCTTATTGTAGCCCATGAGGCGGACTATGGGAAAACCGTTGCCACTGCGATCCTTAACAGCGCCACGGCTGCCCTCTGTCTGGTAACTGAAAGCATAATAAAAAAGAAAAATTGTTAATGAAACCAACTGCAGTTTCATGCTGATGAAAAATTTACCGCGCACGATGCTGTTGCTCAGGTTGAGAAACAATTTCCAACTGCACACGCCCGTTCGACGAAGTCACCACTGTGTTTTGCGGTACTGATGGCTGGCGTTTGTGAGCCACGCGTGTCATGCTACGTGGTCCTGTGGGTATAAATCTGTAAAAGAAAAAAACACAAAAAGAGAGAAATATAAATATTCGTATACAAGTTTTTTCAAAATGTGCAAATTATTATATAGTAAGTAGGATGGACATGAAATGGAAATGACTAGAGCAGTGCCGGCCAAAACGTGCACATTGTGCAGTTTTATTTTCGCATTTTCACATCAACGCTAACGATCGATGTTGTGTAAGCACGATGTTATGCAGGTGTTTTGATATTTGTTTGGCCGGCACTGGACTCGAGTATGCGTGTGTTCTTGTACATATGCAGAGGTAAACTTACATATTACATACTTATATGTCATATTAGAGCGTACTGCCTTTTGATTGCACATATATACACACATGCATACATATGTACATACACCTAAGGGTATATACTACATAAAGCAGGATAAACTATTTTGGTTTAGAAACATTTAATAGAAACACAACGCATTTACAAAACAGGAAAATTGTTAGTGTAGAAGATATGTACATACATACATATTAAAGATTTGATATTTGCGCTTTGGAATACACATTTAAAATATTTTTTTTTTTAAGTAGAATCTGTGTATTTGCAAGTAGCAGTGCACTTTTTTTGAGCTGAATCAAATTAGTCAAAGCAAACAAAATTCTCTTACTTTGTTGGTACCGCTATGGATTCGAGCATTAACTTTGGCGGCGGCTGCGGCGGCGGCGGCACTTCAATAGTTGTTTCCATATTGCTGGCGCTAGCGATTTTCCGTATGAAGACATCCTCACTGCATGCATCATCATTGTCTAGTTCCACAAAGCTTTCGAGCTTCTTTCTCTTGGCGTTGGTGCCGACGATGCGCGACTGCTCATCCTCGGAGTATTGTTGTTGTTGTGTCTGCTGATTATTATGACTGTTGCCCATGTTCGATTGTTGACTATTCGAATCTGAGTTCAAGCGCTGGCGGTAGTAGTCATTCGAGTCATCAGTACAAAAATCTTCAAAGCAGTCTTCTTCATCGTCGATTGAGTTGATAAATGGCAATTTCTTACTAGGTGTTGATCTGATGGGCGGTTGTTGGGCAAGCGAACATCGAAGGGGGTGTGTTATTTTGTATTGTTTGATTTTGGCAGAGCAGCAGTGATGTTAAAATGTATTTTTGTTTTGCATTGAATGGAAGCGATTAGTTTTGTTTGTTTTATCAATAAGCGTTTTTTTATATTACATAAGATTTTGGACGCAATTGCAATCATGCTCAGTTATGATTTGATGTACATATAAGAATTATATTTGTGAGTCTAGAAAATATTTATTGTATATTAAAGCACTGCAAACATACCAGCAGAAATACTCTTCACATGTGTACATGAGTAAATGGAACATATATTTTAGAGTACTTAAAAAGATAGGAACAGAAAAAGAGAACATCATAAATTTAAGGAACTGAGCAATGTTACTCAACAGAGCTCTGCTACATGAAACACTGTTCCGCTTTTCCAGAGTAGTTGAGTAAGTTGATTGCATTCAGTAGTATTTGAAAACTTCATAGGAAGTATAGGAATACTTATGAAGTTTTATCTTTTAAAATTTTAGCATTTAACATAATGTTAAGAAAAGACACACATTTTCTTTTTATTCCAGTATATTCTTAAAATATTGTTTTACATTTCTCGCCGGACGCTTCAATGTTTGCACAATAGTTCTAATTTTTCATACATATACATGATTTATGTACATACATACTATGTAAATTTTTTAAATAACCAAAAATGTGTCCATTTTCCCGCGACCTGTCTTTATGACCAGTTTTTATTGTCAAATTGATATTTTCATTTCTCAATACCAGGCGCTCATACATGTGAAGTAACAAGTTTTCTATTTCTAAGCCGAAAACTGTTTGTGTAAATTTTTAAATTTCCGCTAATTCCGCTTTGAAATATCTCTATTAGTTTTTTTTATTTATAAGCTTAAATACCGGTCGCGAATGTACGGGTCGCGACCGTACGATTTTTCCATAATTTTCTTATGCCTTTCATGACCATGAAATGATATTATAAATTTGGTTTTTAGCCACGTCCATCTGTCTGTCTGTTTGAACGCAATTTAGTCCTCAGTTTTCTAGATATCTGAATGAAATGTGGTAAGCGAGTGTATTTTTATAATGTATATATATATATAAATTATAGCACCCATTCAACTGATTAGTCATTTTAGTTCTCAGTCCTGAATGACCATTCGGTGGAAGTGCTCATATGTATATGTATAACAGTCGAATATACGTAACCGGAAAGCCGAAAGACACACACTTACATATATATAAACTCTGGGGAAATTGTATGCTGTTGCAACAACCACACAAGTCAAGAATACAAAGATTAATAAAACCGAAGAGACTGAAATAATACATATCCCTGTACATATTTCGACCAAATGGCAACCCTCCTATATAAAGATCCGGAATAAAGCCTTATCAAACCCATTTCGATTGATACCCATTTGTTTAAAATTCATTAACTTATTGAATTATTTGAATGTAACTTTATAAACACGTGGCAACCCTCCTAAAACATTCCGGATGTTGAAACTTGTAAATTGGTAAACTTTTACGCCCGCTGCATTAGGAGGCAGATATTTTAGATATTATCCGGTTTTAAGAAAAAATGTTTTTTAAAAGGCTGGTGGCCATGGCAGTAGTCCAACAAGTAATTGCTCTCAGTTAGTCTCGCTTAAATTCAAAAACGATTAAGACTTTTTTTTTTTTGTTCGCTGTAATACCCGGATGGTTTCAAAAGGAAAAAATTTAGAGATGCCACCTGCTTAAAAATTGCAGTCAACGTAAATTGATAAGAGAAAGTAAATATTACAATACGGATGTCAAAAGAACGACGAAAAGACCGCGCATTTCGAGGAGGAATGATAAGATAAGGTAAGGAATGATAAGATAAGGTAAATATTACAATATCTATGAGTACTAAAGTAGAAAGGTTTAGGAAAGTTTGTCGCCGAACATATTTTGACGGTTGCCACCTGTTTGAAACGTTTATTTCAATAAATATTACAACATAGGTGTCAAATGAAAGACATTTGAGAAATCTTTGAAATATCTTCAACTAGCAAATACTCGGCGTGCTTCGCAGCGCTTTAAAAGTATTTTTGTTTTATTACTTCCTCCCAATACACCTAGAACTCTTAGTTAATTCCGTATTATTTGTAAAGTAGGCAGGTTTTTTCAAACTACAAACAAATTTGATTTTGGCTTTTTAAATATGTATGTATACTATGCTAAGTATCTAAAATGACAGGTAAAGTTGAAGTTGAGATAGCAACTCAAAAGCGTTCAGAACTTTTCTCATTTGCTGTCGCAGAGAGCGAAACACAACTACAACAACGTGGTAGAAAAGTTCTGAACCAGAACGATGAATCCCGCCTTTTTTGCCGGAACCAGGCACAAAACAACGCGTGCAGAAAACAACACTCAGACAACATGCCTGTCAACACCTGTGTAAAAAGTGCGCGATATGCAGACTATACGATAGAAAACACATACATATGTAGGTACACAATAACTACAAAAAACTACAGCTACAAAGATAGCAACAACAATAGCTACAACAAATGTAGATAATAACAACAAAAATGAAGCGAAATTATTTAAAAACTCTGGAGAAGATCAATAAGCGGCGAAAAGGCCAAGACGATCAAAGAAAATACATACCTCAAAGATCGAAATGGATTTAGTTTGTAGCTATATAAACACAAATACTCATTCATATACATAGGCATTTCGCTTTAAAAAATTCCATCGCCAACACGTCATAAGCACGTGCTGTCCCACCAGCAAATACTGACATAGTACAACCATACGTACGCACACCTTGCAGAAAATTTTAGCTACAGTAAAACCCGCTTAAGTACCTCACGAAAAATGTTAGCTGGTTTAGGTACTTAGGCGGCTTGGGTACTTAAAAGAACATAATTATTGATGTAATTAACATTTAATGCAGTACACCTAGATTAAAACCAAGATCGTAGCATTATTGAAACACATAAAGAAAAACTTTAATAAAAAAATATATATAGCAATGTTCTGTAATAAAAAAATTTAAATTTTTAAAGACATTGATTATACATACATACAAACACTGTTGGACATGTCATGTCTAGGAATCAATTTTTAGATTTTTCAATTAAAATATAGTCCATTCCATAACACATACCATATAAATCTAAGCTTATAATTTTTTGTAAACCGAAAAAAAATCATCAAAATTTCAAACTTTTTTCTCAAAAGTGTTATATGTATAGTGCTTTTTATAGCCCATTAAATTTGATTGTAATAATGTGAAAGTTTAAAGTGGTTACAAATCACCGTTGATTTTTTAGAATTTTTTGCCGAAGGTGTGTAGCGCTGCCACTGAATTTCAAAATATGTAAATATTTAAAACAAATTAAGAGCACTTAAAAGGTAAAATTTATAAGTAAAATGTTAAATGGGGTACGAAAAATCTAGGTACTTAGGCGGTTTGTGTATATAAGCCAGGAGGTACTTAAAAGAGGGATTTTCTTCAGATTACCTTAAAGAATTCACGGTGCCCAAAAATTTTGGTAACTTACGCGGGTTAGGGGTCTCACTGTAGTAGTTTAAAAAAAAATAATGCGAGCGATTATCGAAGATGATATAAAGAAAAATTTCTTTTCACACGTAAGATAATACTCTGATCTATGTAATTGAGTATATCGTTATCTTAATTCACATAGACCCTAACCAACACTTATTTCGAAACTGAGTTCTCGCAGATTATGGTAGGATTTCTTAAAATAATCCTTTAATTAATTTTTTTTTTAAGTGTAAGTACGGCCGCTGTGGTGTAGTGGTGAGCAGTGCGCGCTTTCACACATCAGCACCTGGGTTCAAGCCCTGGTCAAAGCAACATCCCAAAAAATATAGAAAAAGGTTTTTTCTTAACAGCGGTCGTCCCTCGGCAGGCAATGGCAAACCCCCGAGTGTATTTCTGCCATGAAAAACAGCTTCTCATAAAAATACAATCGCCGTTCGGAGTCGGCGTAAAACTGTAGGTCCCTCCGCTTTGTGTGACAACATCAAGGCGCACGCCACAAGTCGGAGGAGAAGCTCGGCCAAACACTAACATATGTGTAAGCGCCAATCTATTATTATTATTATTATAAGTACCAAAAACAACGGAGTTACATGTAACTTTTTAAAAAGACTTACCTGTTTTTGATATTCTCCTATAAAATAAAAAAAAAAATTTGGATAGGGCCTTTGTGAATTAAGGTAAAGATATGTAGCTTCATTCAGGTTGTCTAACGTTATCTGTAACTTGTTTTTGCTTAATGTGGTAGTAGGACCAAGGTTCGACGCCTGGTCCGAGCACGTCACAATAAAAGTTTCCTATAAAATACATTTGTCATTCGACGTAAAACTGTAGTTCTCTCCATTTGTGTGACAACATAAGGAGAGAAATTATGGAAGCTCGGCCAAACACTTAAGAAATAAAATGATGGCAATTATTATTTTTTTGTTGCTCGATCTTTTTGTGGAAAATACGTATTTTTAATTTCTACATAAAAAAATTGAATTTTTCGCAAAAAATTGGCAGTAGCATTTCAATTGGGAAGTGTCATGGGCGTACGTACGCAGAGCATAATTTAGGGGGGGGGGGGCTGAGATTTTTTTATTAGAAATGTTAAAATATAGCTATTAAAAATGTATTAATTTTTCTCTTTTTAACCGACTTCAAAAAAAGGAGGAGGTTATCAATTCATCGGAATATATTCTTTTATGTATGTTACCGCACAAGTTTGGACCACATTAACCGATTTCGATATTTCTTTATCTGGTGCCTCAGGGCAGGTACCGTACTAATTTGGTTTAGATCCGATCATTGGATCATGGATAAATTAACGGTAATCTTAAAGTTTTACATGAGAATTGAATTTGGTTTTGTTGTTGCTTAAAAATTATATTATGTTATTTTAACGATTGAGTTGCACCGAGCCCTACAAAGTAATTTATATTGGTTCTTGCGCCCCCCTCAGCCC